ACTCTTTGTCTCGCACATATCTAACAACAAATATATATATATATATATATATATATATATTATTTATTTATTTATTTTTTCTGACAGACCTATGGAAGATATTTCCAACGTTATTAACAAGTAAATAAATAATGGAGATGCGCGAGGGCCTAGCCACGTGCGAAGCACCACTATCACACACTTGGAAGAGTTGGTCCAACACAAAATATCTTCAAAATTTCAATTTTTCAACCAACGGGGCCACATATTTACGGCTACATTGCCCGTCAGTTGAATAAACAAAAAAATAAAAAAAATAGAAAAACATTTAAATAAATGCCACACAACTTACATGTATTTATATACTTAACATTTAAATTTCATATATAATTTTATGACATTAAACTATTATAAATAAAAATAGTAATTTGTAGATCTTAAATATATAAATAAATAAATAAAAAATTACATTTTTTATTTATGTAAATTTTCCTTTTTAGAAAAATCACCGGATTGAATGGCTGCCTTATGACGCGCTATCGTCCCTTTCACCTTCAGACTTTCTTTTGGCCACGCAGGAGCGAATCAGCCTATAGTGAGGAAAGAAAAAAAAACAAAAGAAAAGGAAAAGTCCCACAGATTTCCAAGAGGCACAAATCGGCATTTATTGTGTAGTTGGTTTTGTCTTTGCTTCTTTCTCCGGTTTCTTTCACCGTTTACTTTCTCGCAAAGCATCCATCTTTACTCTCCGCCCTTTCTCTAGTACTGTATATAGACAAAATCCGATCTTTCTTGCATCGATCAAGCATGGAATTCGTTAGTGAATCTCCTCTTCTTCCTTCTCCGCCCAGTGATGGAGCTGTCGGTGGTGGAAGGAGTGAAGGGGAAAGCTTCGTGGTTTCAGAGTTTATCGAGCGGCTCGTCGTCGCCATTATCACCTGCGTTTTCGCTATAGGTTGGTGAATTTCCCCTAATCATTTTATGAGTTTGATAGCTTATTTCCGATTGATAGAAGAATCGTTTTTTTTTTATGTTGGGATTTGAAGTTTTGTAGTTCTGATTCATGCTTTCTACTTTTTAATGGCAAAAAATGATTTTGCCCACGAGCTGTATGGTGAAATTCCCCGGCGATTAAGTTTCGGTGAAAAGAAAATGTAATTTTTTTAATTTTTGGTGCAGTGGGAACCCCCATCGGCGCTGTTACTGGAGCAGTGATCGGCATTGCGACAGAGACAGGATTATTCAGAGGAGCTGGAATTGGAGCCATTTCTGGGGCTGTCTTCTCTGTTGAGGCCGTTGAATCCTCTGTAGCCCTCTGGCATTCCAGTGATTCAGGGATTTGGAGTATCCTCTATGTGGTAAGTCAGAACCATAGAAAGTGTTACAACCTTCAAAAAAATATGAAATTTGATTATTCAACATTGTTCATTACACCTTTTAATAAATCTCCTCTTGTAATCTGCCAAAATCCATCTCTTTCTTCTTCTTTGTCTTGCAGTTTGACATAATATGCAGCCTTTTGAGTGGTAGAATTGTGCGGGAGAAGGTTGGTCCTGCAGTGCTGAGCGCAGTACAGAGCCAGGTTCCAGTTGAACTGAACTTAACTGAACTGTACAAGTTATATGAAACACTTATTTCAATCCTTATGAACATTTTGAGTATTAATTTCATGCAGATGAGTGCTTTAGAGTCTGTTTATGCTGAGGCTCCCGATATCTTCGAAACCGGAGGCACTCGCGGCATGTCGAAGGATTCCGTTGAATCTCTTCCAAAGCTTAAAATGTCTTCAGATAACATAATGGATTGCTCAGGAGAGAGGATTTGCTGTTCTGTGTGCTTGCAGGTTTCTACAATTCTATAACATGAAAATTTTTTATTTTCATCCGTAGTTTTTTTCTGAAATTTTGTCTCTGAACCTTCTTTAGGACATTCAAGTAGGTGAAACAGCAAGGAGTTTACCATATTGTCAACATGTGTTCCACTTACCTTGCATTGATAGCTGGCTATTCAGGCATGGTTCTTGCCCTCTATGCAGGAGAGATATGTAGATTCTTCTGATTTTTCTTCTTTTTTGGTGTTAAAAACTTCACCTTTTCTTCTTCTTCTTCTTCTTCTTCTTCTTCTTGTACATCTAGATCTTTGTCAGTTGTATTATCCTTTGAAGAATCCATGGATGTTTCTGGGAGCAGTTTTAGGTGATTTTGAGAGACTGTTTTCATGGAGATCTTTGTATAAGTCTTTAGCTACTTCATAAACCTTCTTCCTTTAACATGAAAATATATGATGTTAATATGTTTAAAACATTGATGCAATTAGTCTGAACTTACTGTTGGCATGTTAAATTTGCATTTCTGCAAACTGCTTTGGTTTTTCTGAAAATTTTCTTAGGGGACTGGAATTTTTAAGTGCGTTTATGTTTGTTTTTGGTCCCCCATTGTGCTGGTCCTCCATGATTTTTCCTTCTGGTTATGTTTGGATAAACATCTACTCTGTCAATGACAATTTTTTTTTTTATCACCATGGATTCAACCATCTTCAGGAGTGGTTAAATGTCGGCTGGTTGATATGATTTTTAATATCTGGTGTATAATAATATATTCTAGATGCAGAAAGTGTTTACTCCATAATGGTTTATTTCAGTTATTTTAATGATTGTGGTTGGTCATGCTTGCATTTTTGCTACTATGTAAAATTTAAGACTTCTTAGATTTCTCAAATCAGGACATGACATTTGGTGTATTTATGTTATTTTAAAAGTTGCAATTGATTTTGCATGTTACTGGCTTTACTTGATATGTTTGTTTTGGACTATGCTGTGCTGTTAAAACCAAGAACTAGTATATGTGTTATATTTAAAAATAGGAAGATTTACATACATACCACAGAATTCATATATATTTACATATCGAAAACTTAAAACTTAAATTTTTACATAGATGTCATGTTACCTATGCATGTAAAGATATATTTTACTTCATGGTACTTTTTTTTAGTGATATGAAAGATTTGGGTGGTGTAAATGTAAAAATTAAAGTTATAAGTATCAATTGTGTGCTATGTTTGTAAATGCCTCTTAAAAATATTATGCTTGTTGTTGAATGTTTTTGAAAGTTTTCATTTTGGTCCAATCATATACTGCATGTTTGATTATTAGGCAAGTTTTTTACCCAGAGCTTTCCCTATAGATGAAAATATGGATTTGACTGTTAAAATGTGATGATAGACCCTATTTTTCGAAAAATTATTCCATACGGGTACTGCAAGCAGCGATGCATGCGGTGTCTGATCTCGACCGTCTATCATCGTAAGAAATTTTTGGGCATGTAAAAGCAAATTTACAGTGTTGTTACTCAGTCGAATGATCAAAATAGTGATATTTATGATTTGATGTTATAATTAAATTCTCGAGCCTTAATAAACATATGAATAATTAAATTTTTATAAGTTTTGTTTTTGCTAGGAAGCTATCTGAATACTACTTTAATAGGTTGTTTTTGAATAAATTATATAATTTCCTGTAATTTTCATTATCTAATAAATTATTCATATTGGTCAACAATAAGTAGATAGCTGAAAGCAATGTTTACCAGATGCTAGTTTCTGTAATGAAAATATACTCAGAATCAAACAAAATAATTGTTATAATGTTTCTGCAATTTATTTTTGGAGCCTAACGTACATATCACTCAACTCCTACATATTTACATATTTAACACCTAAACTTCATTATTTTACATCATACCTCTTTACCTATGCATGAGAAGATATAATGTCAACAAGTTTGAATTATTAGATATGTAAATATATAATTATTGGGTGGTGTTTATGTAATTGTCTCTTAATTTTTTTGGAACTTTATTTTGATTTGAATATTGAATTATTTGATGCGGTCAAGGATTCCATTACCGTTTCCCTGACCGTTAACTAGATAAAAAATTAAAATAAAAATTAAAAAAAAAACTCGAAACGAAACTATATGTACATGCTATTAAATGAATATTTAATCTGATCACTGAGGCAGCTTTTTTTAATTTAATCAGTTTTTTTTAATTTAATCATTAAAATATTTATTTCTATTATTATAAAAATTATTATTATTATTATTATGAAGTAGTAGCCTGCCATTCGTCATCAATGACTCCCTGAACTTGACTGAACTTGGGAAAAATATTACACCATGACTCATAACGTAGTGCTACATTCGGAGTCTACTGATATACAGACACGTGGAGGTGACAGAAAAATAAAAAAAATCGTTTTAATGCGGGGGAATATTACTCTCGTCTTATTTCGCATTATTCAAATATTATTGTGGTGATATTCATGCGTTATTGTGTTTTGGGAATACTCCAAGTGGTATAATAACACAATAACATATCAATACCACCACAATAATACATTAATAATGCAAAATAACATAGGAGAAATATTTTCCCGTGTTACCAGGCTGGATCATTGAAAAGCGCACGCATTTCCTTGAAGCCACGTGTCCACATATCAGTGGACTCCGAACGTAGCTCTACGTTAGTAGTTCCGATGTAATATTTTTCCCCGAACTTGATTGATTTTTTTTAAAGTTTGAGATGAGCAACATAAGCACGCTATTTGCTGAAATCCTAGAGATGTTGTGCTCTGAATGATCTGTTTAATATTTTATTGATTATAAGGTCAAATTTCATGAGATCATGATTGTGATGTATTATGTGTTTTTTTATGACCTGCAAAAGGCAAATAATTCATTAATGTATTCCTTGCCTGTATTATTGAGCTAAGAATTCATCAAATTACATTTGTTATTAATTGTTATAAAATTATAGATTCAAGCTTTCTATAACAAGCTTGGTATTATTAGTTCCTTTATTCGTTAGAATATTTAGGTTTCTCAATTTCATAGTCTACATTAAATATTATGCATTGTAATCCTATGTGAAGCAAACTTATGTATTGACCCATATTTAGAGACAAAAGCTTTTATCCCTTATATGGAGATTCTAATTTATCTAATATACCATGTAGAGAATATTATTTGCTATATTGGTTTATATCTAAAGTTATTTTTAAATGTGTATTAATTTATGATATCTAGAATTTTATAATGCAATAGTGTTGGGAATAAAATATATTCTTACCACACTGTCAAATGAAAAACATGATATTGATGAATACTCTCTCTATATTTTAAATATAATTTGTATGGTCAAACAATTGTAATTTGATGTTCTGAATAAGCTGCCCCAAACAACAAGTCAGCTTATTCTGATAATCTGCAGATTACCAGATTGTCAGAATAATCTGTTTATCAGCAGATTATAAATAATCAACAACAGCCTCAAACATGTCCTAAGTCTTACTTTGTTACTTTGGCTATTAATAATTAAGTCCTATTTAGTCTTTTTATGCAAAGGTGAGGTGGGTATGCATGTAAAAATTGAACTTTAGGTGTATATATATGTAAATCTTCCAAATAGTTACATCTTTCATATCTTATAGCAACAATTAACTCAAGATATAGCATAAGCAATGCCCAAATAATTTACTGAATAACAATATATTTAACCTTGCTAAATGTACAGTAGCCATAAAGAGCATGATTTATTTATATTAAATTACCTTGTGAATTTATTGCAGAAAAAAATCGGAAAATGGAGCCTGTGCCCTCAACTCATTCAACCTTCTGTTCAGTTCCCTTAGTGTTTCTATGTGTGGTTCATCATCCTCAACTGGGATTATTCTGGCAAATTCTCCAGCACCCAAGTAATCAACTACTTGGTTTGCAGCTTCAAGCCCAGTAACAACAGCTTTCTCCTGCAGTGAAAAAACAAAATAGATTTCACATATAAATATCTCAAAACAAATTTTGTCATACACATTCAGCATAAATTTGCTAAATGGCTGAAATTGTCATGAGAAAAATAGAATTTTAAGAAGTTGGGAGGAAAAATTCTTTTGCAGTGACATCATGTAAGGTTGGATTGTGAAAAATCTCATTCTTATTATAAAAGTTTAGAAATACATTAACGATCAATAAAATAATATTCGCGAAGAACAAGTCCAAAACACGCCCTACTTTGACTCACTTTTGCGCAAGAGCCATGGCGAGTAATTATCCAATCACCAGCCATAAACAAATTTTGAAAAGAAGTGGACCCCTTCATCATGTATTTGTATGAACCTGCAATCAGCATTACATTGATAAATTTGTAAAGTTCAAAATTTATTTGATGCCCTATTTTGTACCCTCATGTATAGAATCTAAAATCAATATATTTGTTGGGATTTTCTTAGAAAAATAGAGATGTAGAAAGCAATTATAAAGTACATAAAAGTAACAAATGCTAAATAACAACCAAAATCTTTCAGAAAATTAAAACGTTGACATAGGCACAGCAAGCATAAATAACAACATAAAAGAAATCAACATAACAAATATGAACAAAATTTATTGCAGGAGATACAAGGAAAATGAAAAAATATTACTGAAAACAAGGTTACTACAAGATAAAAATGTGACAAATGCTACCATGAGAGACCTGAAGGCAACGATTACATATCTAACAACTAAATTACACTTTTTTACATTTATAACATCAAAAGCACATAAAAAATACCACTATTTTAACTTTTAAAAAGTGAAGAACAGCTTTTCATGCATAGGTAAAATGACATATATGCAAAAATTGAAGTTTAGGTGAAAGATATGTATATACATAGGAATTGAGAGGTATGCATGTAAATTTTTCTAAGAATAATTTTGGCATGACCAAAGAGTTTCTGATTACAGTTGTGGTAGAAAACATAATTCTATTAGGTGAAATTTTTGGTAAAAATAGTAAATGATATAATAGTAGAGCGATTTAGATGAGAAAGGCTTAGGGTTACCATGAAAAATACAGTATATGGTATTGTGGAGTGAAATTAATAATTATCAATCTATGTTACTGAAGATCAACTTATACCTATATTAGACTTAAGTATATTGGATCTATTATAAAATAAAATGAAGATACACAATTGAGGATATAATTTTAAAATTTAAAATTGAGTGGTTGAGATAGAGAAGGTTCTCCAAACACTACTAATAAAAGAATAGCATGTAGACCAAAGAAACTTTAAAAAATTATAATTAGACAAATTGTACTGTGCAAATATGATTTTTGCATGAAAACGAAATCATTGTAGTCATCTTATAATAAACCAGCTTAAGTTTAGAAAGAATACCTGGAAAGAAATGAGTTGCAGATTTTGGGAATCTGGAAACTATTTGCTGAATCACAATGGCTTCTTGAAATTCTTTGATGCATCTAGAAAGGTATGATATCAGCTTTGCAACAATTTGCTCATCTTTTAAAGGCAATAGCTGGTTGGCATAATACTGCATAAGAGGATTAGATATCTAAATAATGGCTGGACTATTCAACAATCACAAATCAGGTCACATTTGGTTGCTTGAAGTTAGAAGCCATATGATGCAGCACAAAAAATTAGGGTTATATTAACTTGTAAATTTTAGAAGTTATTTAAATTTATTAATCTTTTTTATTTTTAATTTTTTGAAGAAGGATGAATTATTATTTTGGATGATGCAAGGTTTAACTTGAAATTATTATATAAGTTTAGTATTTGGATAAGATAATACTTGTTTGACGAAGGACAAAAAATTTAAATTAAAATTAAGATGTGAAATTTTAGAATTTATTTTGATTTATTAGGCTTTTCTGTTTCTCCCCTTTTTTTTCCTTTTGTCAGAAGGATGAAGTAGCCTTTTGGATTATGTAAGGTTCAAATCAGAATTATCATATAAGATTAGCTTTCAGATAAGATCATATTTAACTTTTGTTTGTAACCTTATTTTTATAAATAGGGGATGATGAATGAGATTAAAATTAAAACTTACGTGTTAATGTTTGATGCATCTTCAAAAAATTTTAAGCATTCAACAGGAATCTCGAGGAATTTTTAAACTACAAACGTTCTAAATTCAAATTCAAGATCATCCAAGATCCCGATCTCAGCAAGTTTATAGTTAAATTGACTGTCTCGATAAGACAAACTCAATGATACACAGTTGGTTCAATCCGAGCCCAAACAACTTCAAATTCAAGATCATCCAAGACCCCGATCTCAGCAAGTTTATAGTTAAATTAACTGTCTCGATAAGACAAACCTAATGATACACAGTTGGTTCAATCCGAGCCCAAACAATTCCAAATTAAATCATTGAAGAATATTTGGAGGCTTTGGACTATCAATTGAATTGTCAAATGAACTCCAAATTTGACATATTTGTAACCAATTTAAGCGTCTCGATGAGGGTAATCCAACGAGTCTAAGATCACTCAATTTCAATATTATTAAGGCACTTAAATCATTAAAAAACACTATGATCAAGAGGATCAATATGCGTGGTTCTATAATCGCTCCCCAGAGGCTATATATACACCTCCTCTCTTCACTTGTAGGAGGGAAAAAAGTCAAATTCTAGAGTCTATTCTGAAGTGAAGACCCAACGGTAGCTTACAAGCTTCATAGCAACTAGCTACGGTCAACCATCACCGACCGTCACCATCTGTTGCCACTGACCACCGAACACTGACGACCGTTGTAGCCAATGTCGCTTATTCCTAACATCGGTATTTCTCTTTACATTGCATGCTGACAAATGCTATCTCTGGTGTAAAATAGCCACCTTCTTCTCCTAGTTGTGAGAAAATGGTTTACACTTACACACTTATAATAAATTATCATAATTAGACTAGACCCCATGATTTTTTTCGCTCTCCGAATTTTTCCACATAAAATAAATCTTGTTTTCTCCTTCTTTTTCTATTACCTGTGTGCATGTTGGATCTTCATGCAACGCTCATATATTAGATAATCCATCTATAGCAGAAAACTTTTCAAGGCGCAAAAATGTTAATGAATCATTCAAACATCTCTATACTCTTATAATGATTTTATGCATGGTTACCTCAACTGTCAGAAAAATTCGAATTCTGCCACATATTCCAACCAATCTTGGATTGATGCTGGAAAGTTACAAGAATAATGAATGGCCAATATTGGCTCAACGTAAAACTTAAAAAAGCAAATTTTACATCTCACGATGCTTTGAAAATCAATTAACTTACTAGATTCCATCATTTCAAGCAACCAAACGAGCCCTTAGAGAAGTACATCACTAATGATTTGCAGGATTTCTTCCCTTAACATAAACTTTAAACAAAGGAATAGAACTCACAAATTCAGCCTCCAAAATGGTCGAAGTTTCATCTTGATATTCATCAAAGATCGAATTTAAGTCGAAGAATGTCCATGATGTTGAATTTTCATTCCCAAAACAAACATTGCTTGCTCGCGGAATCCTAACCTAGTTGCATTAAATGCAATATTTCATGAAGATAATTGCATGAAAAATGAATTGTTGTCACTGAAGAAATATTTGTGAGAATTTAAAAAAAGAGCAATGTATTCACCTTCCGGTCTAGCAATATTTTAACTTTGACAACATCAACCTCAGACAGATTGAGGACGTTCAGAAATTCCTGCCTTGACTGCAGCGCACAACTACATGTAAATCAATCACTGAACTTGGTGATTATATAGCTTTGAAAATCACTAAAAATTTCCTAAAAGGCACAATCAGAGCAAAGGGAGAAATAAAAAAAGAAAGGAGAAAAGTGTCAAAATCATTCCTTTACACTTTAAAGGGGGCCATTTGAATCCCAGAGTTTATAAAAATGTCAATTAAATCCCCATACTCTTTTAGTATGAGTTGAAATAGTCCAAATGAGGACTACTTCAGCAAAAAAATTCAGGGACTAATTAGCATGTTTATAAACTCTCAGACTAAAAGAACTACATGTAAATAGTTACAGGATTGTTTTGTCACTTTACTCGTATAGAAAGAAGAGTGAATTGATTCAACAATTCAAAAATTGTCAAAAAAAAACAAGAATTTTAACCTGTATAATTTATAAAAAGATTACTATCTCCATGTTTTACCTGCTGATAACAGTAGACTTAAGAGTAGAGATTCTAACAGCTAGAACAAATGCATCAGCCTCATAAACATCATTCCCACAGATTACTCCTGTAACGCCTCCAGAGCTTTTATTTACAATAAAATCTGTCATTTTTTTGTTTCCATGAAAATTACAGCCTTTTGATTTCAAAAAATCCCGCCATGGGTTAAAAATCTTCTCCTGAACTGTCCCACGACACCAGGCAACATCAAAGTTTTTCTATGAAAAGACAGAAGGGTAAATATGAGAAAGATGAGATCAGCAAGCTAACTACAATAGTATAATGATATTTGCAGAGTACCAAATAGCTAAAATGTCCTTCTCCCTACTAATATGATTATTGATGGAAAAAAAATTAACCTGATGTGAAAGAGCATAATAATAAAGCATTGAAAGGGCTGCAGCTGCACTACATTGCTCTGCAGGTGCAAGCAGTCCAGCCTCAATAAAAGGTAGAAATGCTTCTCGGTAAAGCCTTTCGGAGCAACCAAATTGTTTGAAAAGTTCCCTTGCAGTCACTGCCATAGAAATTTCCATAATTAAGAGGCTGTTTGGGATCCCTATTATTTTATGTTTTCTATTTTTTATTTTTATTTTGTTTTATTTATGTTTTGATTTGAAACAAAACATATTTGTTATTTTTTAATAAGATATGGTTATTTTTTAAAACACTTAAAAATTATTTTGAGTGTTTTTAAAAACATATTATATTATTTTTAGAAAAAAAAATTTTAAAACACGTAAAAACGAGGGATAACCAAACATAATTTTAGAATAAAAAAAATGAAATTGAAAACAAAAACAAAATGTAAAATTTATCCTAAACAAACCCTAAAGTTTAGAATGCTTCACTTTTGAACGTTTCATCAATTAAAAATGTTAAGAGTTTTGTTTCCTCACTTGCGTCATACTTTCTCCAAACAGCATCAGTGCCATCAAAGTCAATAACTGCATAAGCAGAGAACTTTTAGGTGTTCCAAAAATAAAAAGAAAGTTCAGCCAAGGAAACACTGATTATTTGTAATTTTAGAAATAATCAATGCTTTTATACCTGCTGCAATAAGCATAGTCGAAGCTAGGTGATCCGCTAAAGAGAGATGAGAAAACTGAAATATTTAGAAAAGTAAGACAAAAAAAAGGAGCAAAAAACAGCTTTCACCTAGTGATAAAGAAGGGAAGATTTACATGTGCATCACTCAATTATTATGTATTTACATATATAACACCTAAGCTTCAACTTTTACATACATGCCATCTTATTTATTCATGAAAAGGTGTATTTCGTTTTTTTAGAAGTAAAAATAGTGGCAATTTAGATGTGGTATAAAAGAACTGGATGGCATAAATGTAAAAATGAAATCTTAGACGTTAGATATATATATATATATATATATATATATATATACATACATACATAAGAAATGGAGTGATTTTTATGCAAATGACAAAAACAAATTGCATTAGAAAGAGGCCAACATGTGCAAGCATGCAAGAAATACTTGGGAGTATACTAGGGCTCCAAGAGGAGCAGGCAAGCGAGGTAGATCTTGAAATATAGGAAATTTAACCTGAAAAATAGATCCAAGCATGAGACTTTATAACTTTGTATAGCTGAAAAATGTGAAAAAATAATATAATGAAAGGCCCTCAGCATCCCCATTGGCCAAACCGCATCTTTGGGCTCGACTATATGAATCATACTTTGCCTTTCATTGGTGCCACAACTAACAGAACGATATAATAAATTTTATAGAAAAAACCAATAAATTACCTCCACGCCCTCTGAGGTGTAAAGTGAGGAACTAGTCCAATTGGTAAATGGTTGTAGGCCAAGCTCCTCCATAATAGAAAATATATTTCGATAGGGACTCCAGAAACCTGAAGACATGGAAGAATGCATCAATTAGTAGGCGGAACATCTGGTTCAGCTATAGGGGAGCCAGTTCAGCTATAGGGGAGCTGGTCCAGTAAGAAGACTGAAACGGCGGGCCAGCTCTCGGGCAGAAATTACCACCCTTCCCTCTTTCCTCCTATCTACCAATTATAATGTGTTGCTTGCCGATTTAGGGTTTAGTTCTGTTTTGTTTTCAGATTTCCGCCTCCATGCGTCTCCCTTTGCTAGGGTTGTATCCGAGATAAGTTAGTGCTTCGGCTATATCCTGCTTCGAGGTGAAGACTATCTCCTCGATTCCGTCCACACTTTACCTTCTCCCTGTTACAGCCGCCGGCCACCCTCTCCCCTCCTTTCTGATCCAACCGCTAGCCACCCTATCCCCCTCTTTTACTGTTCCAGCCGCAATCACCCCATCTCTCTCCTCCCAATCTAGCCGCAGACCTCCTATCCTCTCCCTCTCTTCCTGTTTCCAGTCGCCAACCACACAACAGCCTCGCCACCACCTCAACTTCTAGCCGCAAGACCTTCCACCATATCCCTCACTAATTTCCTAACCGACGGTCACCCCTCCCCTTCCCTGTATCCGACCTCCAGCCACTTGTTTCTTACCCTTCCATATATCAGCCACCAACCACCAAGCCATCACCGTCGTTGTCCCCGGATCTTCCTACCTGGCCCTAGCCGAACATTGATGTTGTTGTGTTTTCAATTTCCATGTGGGTCTTAACTGTACTCCGTTCTGTTTTGAGCGATAATATTTGCTTTCATTATGTGGTTTGGATTGAATTCCCACATCAATTTTTGGCTTATTTAGTAAATGAACTGAAAATTATTATTTGAGCTTCACTCATTTATTTAACGAATGGGTAAAACATGAGCAATTATGGTGCTAACACAAACATCAAAAGTGCTTATCAAGAGCAAATAACATTAACACACAAAGTACTAACATAGAAGATCAAACATTAAAAGAATACACAGAGATTTATATGGTTTAGATAGAATAAGCTTATATTCATAGGAGAAAAAAGATAATTAAATATTCAAATCTGCTAAAAAGAAGAAACAAAGATAAAGAAGAAAAGCAGCACGACAAAGCAATCTTCTCTAAAGTATGATTGACGTTACCATAAAAAGGAGAAGTTTTGAATCTTTTGCTATCTGCCAGAAGTTCATAATAACAGAAATTGAGAGTTACATTTGGCTTGCACCAAGATCTAATAAAGATAAACAAAGTTGCACAGCTCCATAAGACAATTTTTTTACACGAACAATAAAAAAATATACATTACTTCTAAATCGAGGTAAAATAGTAAATAACACAAAATAAGCTCATAATATGGTGCATCTCCTAAGCTATTAAATAGCTAGGTGCAGGAAAATAAATAAATAAAAATAACATGTAGTTTATGTGCTTTTATTATGCTACAACACAAAAAGGCACATATTTTATTTTTTTACTATTCTAGTTTATGTTTTTCTAATCAGTTTTTAAACTTAATTATCTTTCTTTTTTTTAAGCTTTGTTTAGACATATTAAAGCTTCATTTTATCTAACCACTTAAATTTTAATCACACTACTTAGGATTCCCAATTCACTGTAACTTTTGCTTCTCATAGAAATGAATACGGCAAGAACAATGGGAGTCTACTGCAACTCGGAATATATGGTTTATCAATCATTAAGCAACAGCTATTTTCATCAATCTAGAAGCGATCATCATCTTTATCTAAAAAATGCAAAATTGTAGTTTTAGTCGCCCAAAAAAATCATGAGTCTCTAGTATCTATAAGAAACAAGTTACGGGAGATCTAAATAAGGAATTTGGAGTCTTCAAAGCACGTAGAAAAAGCATTCCAACAAAAATATGAATAAAACTAGAAGCACTATACTCCCTTGTCCTTCACAATGCCTAACAACACCTTATTGAGATGCTCGTGCACTCCCTCTTATTATTAATAGTTATTTTATATGCTTTCCTTGTTCTATTACCATGCATTTAATTCCTCTACTGTACTTTAATTTTGTTGTTGTTTGATGCTTAGTTTTGTTCAATCTAATTTTGTTCATTTTTAGCATTATTGTGCTACTATATGATACTTGAATTTGTTAGAATAAAGTTGCTTGTGTTGTTCAATTTGTAAATCTATCATCTTCATCTAAGCATTCTTGTCATATTTCATTTTTAGCATTTTTATCTAATATTATACAAATTTATTTATTTCATATCCATGATAATTTTATTTTCTGAAATAATTATCTTTCATTACTTTCATGTATGTTGCAGTAATCTTATATCCTACTTATATGACCTTGATAGTGACTCTTTTCATCAGAATCGCTTCTATTATTGAATTATTAGTAAACTATTCATGATTTTTAATATCATGCACTATTAATAATGTATCTCATGTCGTATGCTATACACTATGGATTTATGAGACATTTGTGTTATAGTGGAATTTTTGCTATTGACAATTATGTTTTGAGATAACAACAGGCGCATCCTTCTCAACAAATGGAAAAGGCAAGAAAAATATGTAAGATAGTTTACTTTCTTTTGGAGCAGGAATAGTTGGCAATATAAATGAAGGACACCATGGCTTGATCAACAAAGGAAAATGAATGTGGGCTCCAAAAATTAATGACCGCTCCCACGGAACTCTACATTTTATTTTTAATAGCTTTGGATGGTCGAATTTTCAAAAGACGGATTGGATTGCAGATAAAACACTATCCAGAGATTCCACCCTAATTTAGCGAGGACATTTTAATCTGGGGTCGAGGTTTCCCATAGGCGCAAGCTCCTACGGTTAATTAACCCTCCCGATAATTGAAAAGCACTTTCGATTAAAATTGGTCATTAAGAATTGAATATTCAACATACAATAACAACATACTTAAAATTAAATTGAAGAATTTATCACTTGAAGCTTAAAGCGGAAGGTGAGGGAATGAAGACGAAAACCGATCAAAAACCCATGGTTCCATCATCCTGGGCAGTCGTGATCCCTGATCTACTTAGTCAGAGGAGTTAGTCGTCCCAACCTGATAAAATGATTCTTGTCAGCAGTCATGAGTTGTGTCATCCAATATATCCTTATTGATCTGGGGTAAATATTTGTCTAAGGAAAAAAATTTACGTCGGCCTTAGCTAACAGAAGGCTTTATGTCAATCAACTGTACCCTTATAATTCACAACTCAAATGATAGAAAAAAGTTGGGGGAACATACGGGCTGCGGCCGTGACCGTAATATAATGATGTCATTTGGAGGTAATCACTCAGTTAGAGTGTTCTGGTTGTAACCGCTATTTTGTGAAGCCTTTTGCAGTAAAACTATACGGATAGAGGACTCAGTCCACGTCTTTATTGGTGTGCAATAATTTTGATTGTGAATGTATTGATACATTTAATATGACATTCATTCTTTTTGGATTGAAGTAAATTAGAAGTTTGTTACCCTCGACAAACTGTTGCGGAGGGTAGATGGAATTCAGTTTTAGCTTTTAGTGATTGAATTTTGCTTACATATTAGTTGGTAATTTTGAAAAGCTTGATTTTAAAGATTAGCCCCTCCGGTTGCAATATTCTATCAACTCGGTCATAATCGGGGAATTGAACATTTAAAACTTGTATAATTGAAGGGGAATATTTAATTTTATTGGTTTAAGTTTTTCAATGTATGAGACCTGCCGACTTCTATCCTTATAGGTATAGGATCGGACTAGTGGGGTGATTTGAATTTGTAAATTCCTATTTTAGAATTTGATTGTTTTTTTTTTTTTTAATTACTAGACTCGTCAAATTACTAGACTCGTCAACTTAACTTCAGTCCTTGCAAAGAGGAGGATCAGGCTAGTGGCGTGGTTTGAACTTGTAAATTTATATTTTAGGATTTAGATATTTATTTCAAAATTACCAAACTCATCAACTCAAGTCCTTGCAAGGAGGAATATCAGAGTAGTTGGGTAGGACTTATGACCCTATCTTATAAACAAGACGACCCGATTAACCTTCGCAACATTCTCGAGCCGAGTATTTGAGAATTTTATACATTGTTTGGAGTACATGTGGGCATTTGAAAATATGTATATTTGATTTATTCATATAGATACCTTAAAGTATATATAACTAAAGAGTATCTCAAGTGGTACTTATCTAAGTCTTAAGAGTGAACTCATATTTAAAAAAATTTCATTTGACTTGGGAGAAAACCACGAGATTTTTATAAATTTTGAAATCATTCATAGCTTAAATTATTTGCACAAGTATATGATTTTAGGCTTTAAAAATGAACAGTCTTCAGTTCGCTAGCAGAAGAATTGTGAATCTGGTGACAGATTTGACATTAATTCTTCATTTTAACATTTGAAAATGACATTCATGTCTTAAACTTATCTTCAATTTATGATATTTAACATTTAAGTTAAGCTAAACGCCCAATTTACAGAATTTGATATTCAATATAAGTTTAATCCTCCCAATTCTCACATTTGAGCCATTTGTTAATTTAAGGAATTCAAACTTTCAACATTATTTACGAGTCTTTACAATCCAATTTCAAATATTAGTAGTATGATTATTGTTTAAAAAATGAATTAATTTAATTTTTAACCATTTTAAAAGTTAACAAAGTCCAAATCTTAAATTATTTTACAAGTGCAAGATCGTCAGAAATTTCGGCAGCTTCCCAGCGTCGTCTTCAGTTAGGGGGTTGCATTAGGATGCCTGCCTACCTGCCGGCCCAACTGTCTATAAGATGCGTTGGGAGAGATCTTTTAATCCACCGATCTATGACGCGTATGGATCTTCACTACCTTAGACTCCTCATTGATCAATTCATCATTTTCTGTATCAGAAGCTGGAATCAGAGCTTCCTCCCCTGGTAATGCTTTGTACATTTTTTTTCTCTTCTTCTGTTTTTAATTGCCTAAACCTTTCTCCACTCCTCTCAGAATGCTTTGCTTCTCCAGCACTAATG